CTGCCTGGGATCCTGACGATCATGGAGTGATCAAGCAGCGAGATCCAGGTGACTGAAACTATGTTTTTCTGCCAATAGCTGGATCACCACCCATGGAAATAGTTCACAGACAGGAGTCAATTCAAGACAAAAATCTGCTGATCAATGTTAGGCAGGCAGCTCACTTGATGGTGTTGCAGAACCTGAAGTATGCTTGGATGTTGGCTCACAGTGAAGTGGCATCAGAGAGCAATGTGGAATCCTCGGGCGAACATGTGTCACAAAACCAGGGGGTGCATCCAGTGTGGGCATGCCAACTCCAGTGCCAGAGGATGGCGCAGGGATGACTTACCAGGAGGTTGTACCAGCACAAGCTGCCAACCACATGATCCCTGGAGACCGATCCAAACTACATCCCTTTTCGGGTGATCGCCCACAAAGCCTGGATCCCATGAGAAGTATCAGTATAGCTAAAAGGCTCAGAAATTCATCTTAAACTAATGCTGGATACCATCACAACACTTAGTAATTGCCCAGATTGATGATGCACAAACTGAATGTTGTCACCAGCGTGGACCGGAAACATACCATCCATCATGGCACAACTAAACCTGCTAATCACATATTCACTGAGGAAACAGTTACTGTCCACCAGCTCTCATTCCATCACCAGTAATGGACAGCAAAACTATTGTTCCAGGCCCAGAACCATTCCCAACAGCATTTCATGATCCTTGCAATTCCTAATCTTCATTCAAGGTGGCTTGGATTCCTGATTTTTAGGAACAAAATCCTTTCCCAGTAGAGTCCTCATTGTACCTTTGTCTTTATTATCAGAACCAACCATCCTCTTGTTCCATGCTGCATGAGTTTTTGAAATGTTATGAACCGTGGAATATTTACTTTCCAACATTTGTTACCTTGCAAATAGGTTTCTCTGAAAGGGATTTAATCTCAACTATTTTCTCCATTTGTGCTTCTTTCGGCTTTTACTCAGACATCCTGGCCTGTCATCATATTTTGAACATTTTCGAACTTAAAATAATCTGTGTACAAATGAGGCTATAGCAGCGTAAAAACAGCAACATCTTCACCAAAATACGAAGAAAGAATAATGTGAACTTAACCTGCTACTCTGCTTTCTGTGAGCATGCCTCAATATGATTAGCCGTTTACCCTGTTTGTTCCCCTCCATGTTGCTACACAGCTGGAAATGCCCTTGGCTTAGGACCAGTATTAAACTGCTTTCCTCAAATGGGGATTCTCGGCCACAGATACATCTGATATTTTTAAGCAGCTTTCTTTGAGGGCAGCACCGAGTCTCATTGCTTCACCATGCCCACATCTAACCAATTCATCTGTCTGCACCAATGCTACCGCAGCTCTCCAGCACCGCCAGTCTACAGCATCAAGAATAACGGCAGTTGTGAAAAACAGTACACTTCAAATCTGTCTCAAATGAGTAACAGCAAATGGAGACTTGCATTTGTGTGATTCATGACGTCCAAATGTACCAACATGGTTCAGAGCAATGTGGTGTTTCTTTTGAAAGGTAGATACTGTTGGAGCATGGGACACACGCCAGGTTATTCACACAAAGCAAGGTCCCCCCAACAACAATGTATTAACAAGCAGGACATATGTTTTCATTAAAGTTGGTTGAAGGACAAATTCTCATCAGAACATTGTAAAAGCTCTTATGGTCATCTTCTAAATAACATAAGTTGAAACCTGAGAGGATAGATGGAGTAGGCTTGGTTTAATTTATAAAATAAAAAGAATATTGTTGCCAGTGCGTACTCCTTTAGTATTGCACAGAACGATCAACTGTCAATTTAAAGTAAAATGCTGCAGAGGGTGGAAATCAAAAACTTACAAAGAAAATGCTGGAGAAACTCAGTCAGTCTTTTGGCATTCTTGGAGAGAGAAACAGAGCTATACTTCATGTCCATTATGGCTCTTCTTCAGAACTGCTGTCTACTCTATCAACTGTCAATGTTACGATCAATTCTCACAAACACCAACTCATAGACAAGAGTGTTCTTATTTTAAGTTGCATTTATTCAAGATTAAACACATTCATAATGTTATAATGATTCCTTTGATTTGTAGAATCATTCCTTCACATGTTTCTGGGCATAAACGTTAATGCTGTAGAAATTAAAGTCATCATTAAGTATAATTGGATGGATGTATTGGCGTTGGAAGGAGAATAGCTGTGGTTTACATGAATGATACCTGGTCTTCAGAGGTTAAGTCCTGAGGAGAGTTAATACAAATTAGTCCTGTGATCTTCAGAATTTAGAATGCAGAGGGGTAATCGAATCGAAAGCTTCAAGATATTAAAGGGAAAAGACAGGATGGTTGAAGATAAAAAATTTCCACTGTTTTGTGATTTGAGAATTAGCAGGCATAGTCTGTAAACTAACACCAGAACATTGTAGAAAAATGTTAGGAAGCTTTTCTCCATACAACAGGTGAAGGTGTTTGTAACTCTCTTTCACAAATGGTGGCTGACGTTCGATCAATTGATAGTTTCCCATTTGAGATAGATAAGTTTTGATTCAACTAAAAGCTATTTTGGAGTATGGGCCAAAGGCAGATATGTGAAGTTAGGCCACAGATTAACAGCGAGCTCATTGCATGGTACAACAGGCTCAAGAGGTTAATTTGCCTACTTGCTGTCCTATGTTCCTGCATTAACAAGATTGTTACTCTTCAGGCTTTCCTTCAACATTTATTAGCTTCAAATTATTCATATTTTCATCCATGAATTCTGTATTTTAAAAAAAAATCTTCACACGATAACTATTTTACATCTGTGTTGGAATTCTAATCATGATTAAAACTTTTCCCTTGTAAAATATTACACTGTTCTGTTGAACGATCACAATCCATTCTCTGCATTCCGTTAATGGTTGTTCCATCAGACTGCATTACAGTCTCTGTCTCCAAATTAGAGTCAGTCTGTTGACACTGATCCAATACAGACAGCTTGCAGATGAATGTACAAACACAATCAATATGCACACAAGCACACAGTATAAACACACATGATACATGCACACACTTGCATAATATACACACAAATGACACATATACATGCACAATATATAAACAGAGATGACATGCACATGCACACATTACACCCATATGCACGATATATACAAACTGGATCCAAATAATTCAGTTCATGCCCTTGATGAGAATTCTCCTTACAAGCAGGTTAAACGTGTACTGACAGCGGGAGAACAAAAGGGGAAGGTCTGTGATAGAACAGAGGGCAGCAGTGATTCAATGACATCAGGAAATACACACCCATTCCATTCTGAACCAAAGGAGACAGAGAGATCTACACCAAAGAAAAAGGCCCTTCAGCCCATTGAGTCTACACCAGTCAAAACCAATCACCTAACTCTTCTAATCCCACTTTCCAACACTTGGCCCATAGCCACGTATGTGAGTGCACATCTATAAATGCATAATGCATAAATGTATAATGTATAATGCATAAATGCATTCAGGGTTTCTGCCTCTAATTCCTTACAGGCAGTGAGTTCCAGATTCCCACTATTCTCTGGGTCAAAAAATTTTTCCTCACATCATCTCTAAACTTTTTGCTCCTTGCTTATGATCTCTGCCCCCTGATTATTGAACCCCCTCCATCAACGGGAAACATTTCTTCTTGTCTATGCCCATGATAATTTTATACATCTCAATCATATTTTCTCTCAGTCTCCTCTGCTTTAAAGAAAAAAATCCGATTCTCTCCAATCTCTCTCCATAACTGAAACTCTCCAGCCCAGGTAACATCCAGGTAAGTCTTGTCTGCACCCTCTTCAGTGCTATCACATTCCTTTGACAATGTGGTTTCCAGAATTGTACACAATACTCCAGCTGTGGTATAAGCAACCTTTTATCCAGTTCCAGCATAACCTCCCTGCTCCTAAGCTCTACACATCATCTGATAAAGGAAAGAATGACAATAAAGTTCTTAATAACTTTATCCACCTGTCCTGATAACTTAAGGATCTGTTTTACATGCACACCAAGGTCCATCTGATCCTTATGCTTCCGAGGATCAATCCATTCATCTGCTATTCCCTTACCTTGTTTGTACTCGTCTACTCAGCACCACCTCACAGTACAATCAGCCAACAATCAATACAGGAAGTGTCAATGACTGTAAAGTATATCTCAATAAATCAGCCCCAAGACTCTTGCCATTTCAACTTTAATTTGCAAAATTACTTCCCAATCTTGTTATCATGGCAATTCTTTTCATGATTATTTTATTGTTCTTTTCAACAAGGTTGTTGATATGGTAAACAGTTGCGCACAAAAGAGCAGAGACAGCGTTCTATTGACATTCCACGACCGTTTTATGTCAACAGCTTTCGAAGATGCGCAGGAGATATGGTGTCTCCATTGGAGTTGAACATTGAGTATTAAAATTCTGTTGAATATTCTCAAAGTGCATCTTAAAACAAATTGATTCCATTCAACTCAGCTGCAGGGAGAGTCTAGCTGACATCACTCACAGATATAAATCCACATTGCAACATTTCCAACTTTACACATGGCTGTCTCTCTGGTGCACTATGTTATGATCTCTGATGTCAAGACTGGGCAAGTCAGTTCCCAGCTTGGAGCCTGGCTTGTTGGATCATACTTTGTTTCTTCTTGGTTTTGACAAGATTGAAATACAAGTACACAATCCTGCAAATTTGTGCTTAACCATAAAACAAGTTCATGAATCAAATGAAATGACGATAAAATAGAATAAACCAATCAAATTACACACAATACAAATTTAAAGCCTTTAAAACTGACAGATATTTTTAATCAATCTGAATCATCTTCTCATGTTGTCAGGAACAACTGCTTCACACATCAATCTTCATCCAAGACTACTGCAGAAAATCCCAAAATGGAAACTGAAACTGAAATTGAAATGTCTCTCACCAGACTATGGGTGTTTCCCCCGACAATTAGTGAAAAGAAAATGCAAAACCTGGATCTGAAACCTCTTCACTTTATTTTAGTTGTAAAATGCTCCCAATGTAACCAAAAACCCATTTGCTCTTTGAGGCATTCGCCCTCTAACACAGTGATGCAACACAAATCACCGTTGGTACAGAAATACCTAGAAGTTAATCATTCAACCACTTGATACACACAGAAATGCATATGTCACGTTCCAAATTCAGTTACAAACTCAGGACTTAATGGCATTAAATTTGGCAAAAATCACAAATCTTACATCACAATGACCAATCCTGAGAGGAAGAAAATGATAACTGTAAAATTCAGCACAACCGTCAAGATTGAAGTTTGATTATTAAGGCCAACATCCATATCAGTTACCATTTAATGCAATTTCAGATCATCATCTTGAGTGTTTACATTTGGAAAGTAAAGTCAAAGATACTGAGGATGGAACAATTGAGATGCATACTTTACAGAACAAATGAATCCAGATACATAAAAATATATGATATATATCTTAAATGTGCAAGATATATCCAAAATACAACTAACTTGAAAGGTTTCTAGTTTGGATTAATTTTGTTTCACAAGAGTGTAAGTCTTATTGGGCACAGGTACATGTGAGTTGCATTGTTCATTCTAATGATTTCAAATCAGGACCAGACTTCAGGATCTGTAATCCGAAAGCTTCTTCATTTCTTGTTGCCTTGTCCAGATTCCTGCTGTATGATTTCTAACAAGATCCAAAGAATTACTTTAAATTAATCCTACAAGGGTAAACATTGGTCAGAAAGTGATGGACAAAGAGAAAATTTTACAAAAAGTACAAGGGAACAGATTTTGACTCATGTACTGCTAACTCACTGTGATTGAGATCATTTGAACAGTTCAAACTGATTTGTCCCCGATGTGGGGTGACAGGTTTGCAATAGTTGAGAGGAAATTTGGAAATTTCCCATTGGATTGGCTTCCAAGTCAAAATTTTAAATTACAAGATGTGTTTCATTTTTAGAAATCTACACCAAGGACATACAGCCAAAAAAATGACTTTGCATATAAATTTGGTTTATGTCTAGAAAGACAGACAGAGATACAAGGAGAGAGAGAGAGAGAGAGCAAGTGAGAGAAAGAGAGAGAGACAGCAATTCAGAAATGTCATCCCTAATGAGGGGCCAAGGAAGCTACACAGGAGTGGGTTTAGAAAGCAAGAAATGTTTTACAAAGCAAACCATAATTCCCTCTGTGTATCTCAGTCTGTTAGCATGATGGCAAAAAAGTGACAGGAGTCTGGGCGAGACATATATTCCCCATTTCAGTAATATACAGGAACAGGGGTTAGAAATGAGCTTCAACCTTGCTCCATTTCTGTTAGTGACCATGCATCCTAGCGTGTGAACCAATTTTCTTTAAAGGCAATAATTTTAAGACAGGTTATCACCCCTACACCGTACCTGGTATAAACAGCGAAAAATATCCCTCTCGCTTTGGGTGCCGACAGCTAGACACTGCCATAAAGACCTAATAATTTCCAAGAAGAATATTTGTGATAGTCACTGAAAACTGTTAAAAATTATGGCTTCTTTGTTTCAGCACTGTCCGCTCACTGTCAAACAGGAAAAGGGCTCTTTGCTTTTCCTGATTTCTGTCTTGATTAAGAAAGTTTCTGACAGTTACATCAGGTAAAATAATCGAGACGTAACATTTCATCCAATTTTGATAAATTGATAAATTGAAATCCACAAATTATGATTCTTCCAAATTGTGTCCAATGGACAACTTGTGAATCACCATCTTTAATTTTGTTTTGATCCCTAATACCTGTTCAAAGACATCAGTTTGCTCAGGGACAATTGGCAGTTAATTCAGGATTCACTCAAAAACTTAAAGAAATTCTTACTTTGTTTATCCTCTTCAAGCATAAAGTAAGTCCAACATCAAAGATTAGTTTAATAACCAGGTAACTGAAAACTGTGATGATCCAAATGACTGGAACTGGTCTCTCTCTCACTGTGAATGACAAAGTGGTTGGTTACAATTTCATTCTCCATCTCATTTAAAATGGGAAATCTCATGCCATACAGTCTATGAAATATGTGGAAAATGAAAATATTCTTCGTTAAACTTTGGGAACTAGAGCATCAAATATTTGTGTGAAATTTCTTTTTTTTTAAATCGTATTTTGTTGGTCTGGAATTGACAATTTTCAGGAAATCCTGTAGGTCTGACCGCTTTGAAGTTAATTAAGCAGCTCTATGTCAGTGAAGAAGGAAGTCAAGAACATAATTGAATCATTCATTCCGTAAACTGAATGGATTTGATGTAAAAGTGTTGTGTTGGCCACACTGGATGAAACCAAACTCACACCGGAGATTCCCCAGGTGGCGAGTTCCCAACCTCAGCTGTGCTGTGCTGTCAAGGTGTGAAACAGCCACAGCTCTGAAAGTGGAAATTTCTTTGAAACCATAGCTCTTCTGATAAATGCAATTTATTCACAAATAGCCATGCAACCAGGAATGGTCAGCAAGTTTTGCAATGACATTAAGGATTTTCTATGGCATATTTCATTTTATATTCCAGTGTAAAATCTTAATACACTATTTTAACACTAGATTAGGAAATAAATGAAGTAATTGGATAACTGCCTCCACAGTCGGATTTCTGGTACATTTCTGCTCAACTGAGTCAGGTCCCATTTACTGAACATGGTCAAGGTTTTACTTTATGAAACAAAACATTGAATGTGATTTACCATGAAATCTGATGACCATTTACCATTATTTTACTCTCCATGTCAATGCAGTCTTCTTTTCAGATGCCTGGTCAAAAATTGTTTTTTGGTATTGTATACAATAGTCCATAATCCCATTGTTCAGGAAGTGAGTGGTTGATTTTGAACCGTTCCTAATAAAATCAGTGTGGTAATGTCGAATATTCACTGCTTATTAGTTCTCATGTTAGAGTGAGAACTTACTTCCTTTGAAAAAGTTGAGACACAGCTCAAAATAAACTGGTCTGTGATGCCCTACGGCTACGAAGATAAGAAGTGGCTGACCACCAAACTCAGATGAAAACAATCTCTTATGCATGATGCACCAAACTGCAGACATGTCTCTGTTTCACCCTTCCAGGAATATACAAAAAAAAAGCACGGTTAAAAACCAACTGCAGCCCCTGGTCTGTGTGTGTTAGTGGGATGATGTGCTGGTGTGGATTTATGTGCTTTGAAGCTCTGAGATTGAGAACAACGGTTAATCACCCTGGCACTGCAGGTATAGAAAGACTCAGTCTTGCTCTGAACTGTGGAAGCCAGGCAAACCAAAGATGTCATCATGAAAAGGAAATGGACAAAAAAATCTCAGCTACTTGCACTGAAACCTGAAATCAACAGTTTTACTGTCAACATCACTCTTACAGATAGCATCCAAGTTAGTGGCTGCAATGTTCCACCATCTGCTGTACATGGAACCGAGAGACCAATTCATACAGCCGTTGAACTGTTACCTCTTTAATCAATTCACATTTCAAATCTATATCTGTCTATCATGTTTTATTACTTTTTCTTGCATTTAGTGGCTAATAAATTACTGTTTCTTTAACTCAAGAAAGACTGGTAAATTAGGCTCCTTTTAAAACTTAAATACATTTGGAAAAGGTAGGCAGGAGGGAAGGTTTCCTTCATAATTTACATTGTTTGAGACAGTGGTTCTATTGCAAAGGGAAGCCAGTTTACTCTTCCTCAGGTTGGAGCATAACTATTTGGTGAGTATTCCATCCGAAATTGTAACAAAATAGGAACCCTCACGGGGACCAGCCAAAAATGATATTGGTTAATCTTTCAGAATGGGATGGCACAAGGGCAGAGGAACATTACCCTGGAAAGGTGAAGGGACACAGCAGCAACAATTCACTTCATGAACCACCACCATGAACAAGCTGAAGGGGACTTCCAGTCAAGACCTGCAGGGATGTAGCCAATTGTCTTAATATGGCAAAAGGTGGGAGAGCAAAAAAGGGGACAGACTGCAGTATTGGAAAGGTATAACAGTAACTGTACTGATCAAGTCTACTTGGTAAAAATAAATCTGTATTCATGTCATGGATGTTCTGCGAAAGGATTTTGTGACAAAACACAATCACGACCTTGAAAGAAGAGCTCACAGAAATCACAGATGACTTTCCTTTGAAATAGAGACTGGCCTCCTCTGCTCATTACGATTCCGTTCAGCAGAAAATGACACAAATATTTCAGTTCCAATAAAGGCTCACTGGACCTGAACCATTTATTCTGCTTTCTCTCCACAGATGCTGCCAGACCTGCTGAGTTTTTCCCATACTCTCCGTTTTGGTGCAAATAGTTAACAAACTCATGGGATGAAGGCATCTCTGTCGACGTCACCACTTGTTCCTTTCGCACTTGAACTGAGTGTTTTTAGCCTTGGCTATTTCACAGGGCAGCTAAAGGTTAATGTGTGTCTGGAGTCACATCGAGGGCATTAGTGAAGCAGGTGGGAATTTTATACAATCAATGACAGTTTCATGGTCATCGTTATGGAAATGAGTTTTATGTTACGGACTTTTCGATTGAAATTAAACTTTTGCAATTGCTTCAGTGGGTTTTGAAATAAAAACACACAGCAATATACTGGGACTCTAAATTAGCAGTCCAATGATATAAATGCTATACTATGCACTATACAGTGAAAGAGACATGTCACTGAGAGTTGGGAATCCTGTGCATTCAGACTCCAACCCCCATGACTGACTGCAATTCGAAGGCAAATCCTACTGCAGATAAGGAGACATCAAAGTACAGTTTGCAGAGGTTAAAGAGATTATAGTTGTAATGTAAAGAGAAAGCAAGTTCCATCTGCTAACTCCCTTCCTCCGCAATCTGAGATTGCATAGACACTGAAATATGAGGCAGGATCTTTTGGTCTTTCTCATCCTGCCATTGAAAAGCTTATTGTGAAGCTGCCCTCACACTGACAGCTGTCCCATCGCCATCGAATGCTTTGAAATATCAACTGGCTATCAGTACCAGTTTGGTGTGGGCATCCCAACATCCAGTGTTATGACTAGCCGGCAGCTCAGTGATTCAAACAGTATCATTTGGAGTGCTGGCCAGTGTTGGGCCTGAATCCTGGACCAAAGAGGAAGAAGAAACAAGACCGGGGCATGAGTAAGTTGGTGGGCTGGACGGACAGGATTTATGGCCTCAGTGGAAAAGGTGACTGTGTAATTTTAAGGGCCCTTTATCAGAAGTCCTGCCTTCCAGGTAATACTCAACTCAGCAAGTACGATGAACCAGCAGAGAGAATGCTGGAAAATCTCAGCAGGTTTGGCAGCATATAGAGAGAGAGAAACAGAGTAAACATTTCCAGATGTGAGTCACTCTTCTCCACATTTCCAGCTGTCACAGTGTTTTATTTTTCTTCAAGCAGAATGGACAGCTCACACACCCTTCTCAATTACCCAATTATTCCTCAACCAGTCATTCTTCCACCAATCATTCACCAGTCAGTTATCTAATCATTCAATTTCAAGACAACTTTCAATAAATTTTCAATCCTTTAATTCCTACCAACAGTGAATCATTTCTCAAGTGACCATTACATACAAATCATTTACCAACCAACCAACCCTGGCCAAATGCCTCCACTTCTAGAATTGATGTTGGAGAGTTATGTGTGTAAGATATAAATGAGGGGTAGAGATAGAATGACATCATTTATTCATCATTATCAAACAGAGCATAATGGAATGCACAGAAGTCTACCGAGTTCCAGACTACTGTAAGAAAGATGTATTAAAATGGGCAGTGGCAATTTAACATTTAATTATTACCTCACAGAAATGTAAAGGGCACTAAATACTCATTTTCAGCTTCAATCCATTTTTTAGTGTGATTTTCCTTTGCAGTGCTAAGTAATGTAACCTCAGTAGGAATGTAAACGAACATGAAAAGTAAGATAATATCATTTCAAAGCTTTCTTTGGAATGAAATCTGAGATACTTACCGTTATACTTCAGATGATAAGGGATTAAAACCTTGGGGGTGTTTTGATTAAACAAAATGCATGTCCAGTTCCCTCCGTCTTTGTCGAATTCCTGAATAACCAGCTGTAAACTATCCCTTTCCTGCTTCTGTTCCTTGAATGTTTTCTCTGCAACAATTTTACCATCACTATTGATCCAAACAAGTCGGACTGATTCAGTAACATGTGAGACAGAGCAGATCAGGGTAACAGTGTATCCCTCAGTCACTGCATCAGATGGTTCCACTGTGACTGTGTAAACAGGAAAATCATTTAGCTTTTAAACATTTGCTTGATCATTGAAAACATCATCAACATTCTGTCTCCTACCTTTTACTGTGACCAGATTAATGGTCAAATGATTATCTGATCCCTGAGAGCATCTGTAAACTCCAGCATCTTCAAACTGGACAGGCACAATCCGTATACTGAAAAACCTGTCAGTGAAACTGGTCACTGGGCGGACCAGTCGACTCCCAAAGTAGGTGCTGTTTATGTTGACAGGCTTCGATTTGGAACTGGAAGCTATTTCATTATCTTGAGTTTTTAAAGGTGAAGACCAGGTCCATTTGGTTTTACTTAACACAGAATCAACTTCACAAATCAACTCAAGTTCACTGTGATCTGTGACTGATCGATAAAGTGTATACATTTTATCATGTAAATCTGCAACAGAAAGAGATAGGAAACAAGATGTTAGAGTTTTATTGTCACTGATAAACAGAGCAATGAAACATCAAGAAATATCTCATTCTATCCCCTGGATACTTATAGTCTTATTGGTATGTTGGCTCATGGTCAAACGGGGATAGAAACATCCATCAGAATGTGCTGCAACACTTTCAATTGCGAGACATTGAGGACAAGCTTGGAGTAACCTCAAACATTTAGCTAATAGAAGGACAGTGAGGAGTTAATTTATTAAAGACAAGTAGTTGCTCAGCTGGGCCTGATACACCGTGTTCACCTTGATACTAATGCAGGAAATGTTAAACAATTGAATATATGGGTGAGAGACTGGGGAACTCGAAGCAGTCCCCACAATCAGCACAGTAGATGGCAGGGGAGTAGGGATCCTGAGCCTGTAGCTCATCCGCTCGTGTTTTTGTTTTTTATTCCTTTTTTTTTCTCCTTTTTTTGACTTACCTCATAGTGCAGGGCTCGGTTGTGACGAGGCCATCGCTGGTAAACAAGTCGAGCATGGACTGGAAGTCAGCATGGTGCTCCTACTTTGACGAGGCTGTCCTAGCGCTGACTCAAGCCTGCTGTGGCAGAAGTGAGTTTGGGTTCTTGGCAGCAACTGCATCGAGCGCAGGTTCATGGTGGGAGTGACGGAGGAGAGTTTGGCTCCAGTGGGAGATCCAACGGCGTTGCGAGCTGGGTCCGAAGCAGACTCATGGAAGTGGCGGAGATGAGTTTGGGCCGATGTCCTACCAGATAGCACCAGTGGCAGCTGCATTGGTGAGGTCGAGTCAGGACTCGTTTTGGCGAGGATATCGGCGGAGGCGAGATGCTGCTGAAAACTGGTAACTCTTCCTCCATCTGCGGCTGCACAGCAAAGGGGACTCATGCCTACCCCTCATGCCCGTGGCCCTCGGCGGAGCCCTTAACAAGAAGGGACTGTAAAGTTCGACAGTGTTTCTTTATTTCTTTCTTTATCTGCCTCTGTGTTCTATGGTTTAGTTATTTTTTCTGTGTTTTAAGATAGCATCAGAGAGGGACAACACTGCACAACGGTTTCCACAGTATTTGGAACAAAATATATTTGACGATAGACAGATAGATAGATAGGCAGACAGATAGACTTATAGACAAAAATCACTAAGATCACACTCTCCACTCTGAATAACTCACTACAGGCCTTAACACAAATGTTCCAATGCAATGATGACATTATGAAGGTATACTGAAGGTTAGAAGTACATCATGAAAGTATATCTCTCAAAGGTTGAGTGGCATATTGTGTCCCTTAAAGGTATAATAACATACTGTGAGTCATAGCACAACACTACCTGCTCAACTGTCAATCTCAGTCACTCACATAGAAATATGGACACTAGGAGCAGAAACAGCTGTGAGGTCTTTGAGCTTGCTCTGCCATTCAATAGTATCAAGGCTGATTCTCTATCTCCAGACCAGATGCTCACTCTCTTCACATACCTCTCGATCTAAATCTATATCTCAATCTGAAATCTAATCTCACAACCTAAATACCTCATCCATCGAGTGACTGTGAATGTTCGCTGGCGATTGCACAATGTTCAGCATCATCCACGACTTCTCAGATACTGAAGCAGACCATGTTCAAATGCAGCAAGATCCAGACAATGTCCAGGCTTGGGCTGACATGTCGAAAGTAACATTTGCAACACAAAAATGCCAGGCTATTACCATGTTCAACAAGTGAAAATATAACCACCACCCCTTGACATTCAATGGTGTTACCATCACTCAGTCTTAGAAGCTCAACTGGTCTAGACACATCTACACAGTGGTTACAATAGCACATCAGAGGCTGGGAATATTGTGGTGAGTAAATCACCTCCCGATTCCCCAAAGCCCTCTATCATTCACAAAACACAAGTCAGGAGTATGATGGAATAGTCCCCATTTGCCCGGATGGATGTAGCTCCAACAACACTCAAGAAGCTTGATATGATCCAAGAAAAAACAAACTGCTTGATTGGCACCACTTGCACAAGCATCCACTCTGCCAATCACCGGTGAGCAGTATCAGCAGTGATGTGGAGGTGCCAATGTTTGACTGGGGTGGACAAGGTCAGAAGTCACATGACACCAGGTCATAGTCCAACAGATTTGTTTGAAATCACAAGCTTTCGCACCACTGCTCCTTCATCAAGTGGAGTGAAGAGAAGAACATAGGCACAGGATTTATAGGCAGAGAGATCAAAGGGTCATACAAATTGTGAGAGTGGAGTGGCCACTGGCTGTATAATAAGTCTCTGCAGGTGATCAAAAGTGTCAGATAATGTGAGTAAATTCAATAGCTGAATAGCAAGTGAAGGGATGACCTACAATCTGACTAATTGAGGCAGAGAGATAATTGCAAAAAATTAAAAATAAGGTAGTGCTGGAAACAATCCAAATGGCTGGAATAACATGGTATGTATAAGAGTCGCATGCCGAGGATTTGAGCAAAGTAACAAGTAATCCAAAACTCAACAAATTAATTGGAGAGATCGGAACAAATTATCATGGTGATGGTGTCAAAACAGGACAGTATGGAAGTTTTACAGATACAGAACAGTATGGTGGGGTTACATGTAGTGAAACATGAACCCAAGATTATGGTTCAGGCCATCTTCCGAGGTACGGAATTTGGCTATCAGTTCCTGCTCGATGATTCTGCATTGTTGTATATCTCAAAGACCGCCTTGGAGGACACTTACTCAAAGATCAGAGGATGAATGTCCTTGACCATTAAAGTGTTTCCCAACTGGGAGGCAACATTCCTGTCTGGCGATTGTTGCATGATGTCCATTCATCCATTCCCGTAGTACCTGCATGGTCTCACCAATATACTATGCCTCTGGGCATCCTCACCTGCAGCATATGAGGTAGATCACATTGGCCGTGTCACAGAAGTATCTGTAGTGTACGTGGTGGATGGTGTTCCCACGTATGATGACAATATCCGTATCGATGATCTGGCATGTCTTGCAGAGGTTGCCGTGGCAGGGTTGTGTGGTGTTGTGGTTGTTATTGTCCTGAAGGCTGGGTTGTTTGCTGTGAACGATGGTCTGTTTAAGCTTTGGTGGTTGTTTGAAGGTGAGAAAAGGAGGCGTAGGGATGATCTTGGTGAGATGTTTGTCATCATCGATGACATATTGAAGGCTGCAAAGAACATGGCATAGTTTCTCCGCCCTGGGGATGTACTGGACAATGAAGGGGACTCTATCAGTCGTGTCCAGTGTCTGTCTTCTGAGTAGGATGTTGTCGTTTTTCACTGTGGCACGTTGGAACCGGTGATCGATGAGTTGAGTAACATATCGTGCTCTTATGAGCGCATTTTCAGCATGTTTAGGTGTTCATCACATTCCTCATCATCCGAGCAGATCCTCTGTATACATAGGGCTTGTCCGTAGAGGATGGCTTCTTTAACATGTTGAGGGTGTTAGCTAGAGAAGTGCAGCATCGTGAGGTTATCTGTGGGCTTGCTATGAAGTGCTAAGATGTCTTCCTTGATGGAGATGTGTGTGTCCAAGAATGAGACTGATTCTGAAGAATAGTCCATGGTAAGTCTGATGGTGGGCTGAAACTTATTGATATCATTGTGCAGTAATGTCAGTGATTCCTCACTATGAGTCCAAAGGAAGAAAATGTCATTGATGTGTCTGGTGTATAGCATTGGCTAAAGGTACTTTGCAGCAAAGACATCTTGCTCAAACTTGTGCATGAAAATGTTGGTGTATCAGGATGCAAATTTGGTCCCCAAAACTGTTCTGTGTGTCTGGATGAAGAGCTGGTTGTCGAAGATGAAGACGTAGTGGTCAAAGATGAAGAAGATGAGTTGTAGGATGGCATTTGGAAATTGGCACTTGGTAGTATTGAGTACTGAGGCTGTTGCAGTAATGCCATCATGGTGGGGGACGCTGGTGTAGAGTGCTGAAATGTCAGTTGTGATGAGGAATGCCCCTGGTTCAACTGGTCCATGGGTGCTGAATTTCAGTAAAATTTCTGTAGTGTTGTGACTGAAGCTGGGGGTTCCTTGTACAATGGGTTTCAAGATGCCCTCAACACAGCCAGAGAGGTTCTCACACAGGGTCCCATTGCTTGATACGATGGGATATCCAGGTGTGTTGGCTTTGTGTGTTTTCAGAAGGCAGTAGAAGTCTTCGAAACAAGAGGTAAATGGAATGAGAGTGCGTAGGATACTCTAAAGGTCTAGACCAGTCTGTTGATTTGACAGGTGTGTTCTTTGGTCAGATCGGCAGGTAATTGTCTGTAGTGTTCTTGGTTGTTCCATTGTTGTTACAGTTCTTTGCAATAGTCCATTCTATTCTGTATGATGATTGCTCTTCCTTTGTCTGTTGGTTTGATGACGATGTTTGGATTGGCCTTGACAGCACAGATGATGTTGCATTGTACTTGCCGATGTTCTGCGCTATCTTATGGGTATGGATGATGAATCTGGTGTTAACACATCTCCTAATGGCTTGAGCATACATGTCGAGCCTTGGGCAGCAGAGGGGTCCAATTGGATTCTTTCTTCTTTGGTGGCTACACTGTGGATCTCTCTGTCGACTGTTCTGGTTCATTAGTTATCTCTTTGGGCTCGCTGCTGACATCTTGGTGTTTGTCGATGAATTCCTCTGTGTCTGCTGTGAGACGATTTTGATAGTGGGGCAGAAATTGAGCTCTCGGCTGAGAACTTCAATTTCGTCTGGTTGAAGAGTGTCGTCAGACAAGTTGACGATGGATTTTCCTGTGGTGATACTGGTTTCAATGATGGTACCAGGAGATGCTTGGTTACTGCTGGTGGTGATGCAGAGTTTCTCCAGTTTCCTGTTCTTGCTGTGCATGTAGCTGTCATAGTTCCATTGCCTCATTTGCTGGTCAGTGTCTTGCAGCTGATCGGCTGTATCCTGAGCACAAGCTGAGAGTGTAGACTCTATCTTAATTTCAAGGGTGTGGGGCATTTGCTGTAGAGGTGGTGTATAAGATGATTGAGGAGTGTGTGAGAGGTGTGACAGCAAAGCCTACCAGCATAGTCGATGTTGAAGGTCGACTTGAGTGGGGTCATGATCTGTAGTCCTTTCGGGATTTTCTCTGCTTTCTTGCATCTCTGCAGAAATTTGATGTCTGTGTCAACATGCGTGATCCTCTTGGTGATCATCTCCACTTTGAGCTGGCAGATTGTGGTGCCCATGGTAGCCATGACGTGGAGGTGTCGATGTTGGACTGAGGTGGATAAAGTCAGAAGACACATGACACCAGGTTATAGTGCAACAGGTTTATGCGAAATCACAAGTTTTCAGAGTGCAACTCCTTCGTCAGGTGGAGTGAAGAGAAGCACATAGGCACATACTTGATAGGCAGAAAGATCCTTAAAAGGTGTGAGTGGAGTATCCACTGGCTGAAAAATAAGTCTCTACTACCACCATACGTGGGAACACCACCCAACATGTACATGGCAGATACTCGTGAAACACAGCCAATGTTTTCTCGCTCATACTCTGCAGGCAAGGATGCCCCGAGACATGGTACATTGGCAAGACCATGCAAATGCCATGATGATGGATGAAAGGACACCATGCAACAATCAGACACAAAGGTTCCCTCCCAATTGGGGAACACTTCAGCAGCCGAGGACATTCAGCCTCTGATCTTCGGGTAAGCATCCTCCAAGGTTGCCTTCAAAGATACCTAATAACACAGAATCAATGAACGGAAACTGATAGCCAAGTTCCGTACCCATGAAGATGGCCTCAACTGTGGCCTTGGGTTCATGTTGTGCTACATGTAACCCCACCGTACTGTTCTGTATCTGTAAAATCTTCCTTACTGTCCTGATTTGACACCATCATCCTTGATAAGTCGTCACATTCACTGTACCTTAATTAGTTTGTACAGTTTTGGGTTACTTGTTATCCTGGTTAGACGCTTGGCATGGGACTCCTATATGTGTCATGTTATTCCGGGTATTTGGTTTGTTTCCAGCACCACCTTATCTTTAATGTTTTGTAATTATATCTCTGCCTCATTAATGGGATTATATATCATTCCTTCACTTGCTATTCAGCTGTTGACACTTTACTCACACCGTCTGACACTTATGATCACCTGCAGAGACTCATTATTCGGCCTGTCAACACTCCACTCACACCATTTGTATGATCTTTTGATCCCTCTGCCTACAAATTCTGTGCTTGTGTGCTTCTCTTCACTCTACCTGAATTACTCTACCTGATAAAGGAGCAGCGCTCAGAAAGCTTGTGATTTCAAATAAACCTGTTGGACTATAACCTGGTGCCATGTGACTTCTGACAGTATCAGCAATGTGTACTATCTACAGTTGCATTGCAGAAATTCACAAAAGATCCTCAGACTGCACTTTCCAAACCCAGGGACACATCTATTTGGAAGGATAAGGGAAGCAGATACTTGGGAACATAACCATCTGCAATTTCTCCTCCGAACCACTCGCTATCCTGATTTGGAAATATATCTCCATTGCTTCACTGTCGCTGGCACAAAATGCTGGAATTCCCTCCCTAATGGCATTATGGGTCAATCCAAAGCACATGAACTGCAGTGGTTCAGGAACACAGCTCACCATCACCATCACCTTCCCAAGGGTGACTCGGAACAGGAAATAAATGCTGGCTCACTTTGCGACACCCACATCCAAGAGTGTACAATAATAAAAAAATTCCTACCGACTCATTCACACATACATCCACTCACCAATTCACAGCCTGCACTCATTCATTAGAACTCTGTTCTGGATTAATCTAGGACACTTTTATAACACTCTTCCAGACTATTATTACACTTCTGAATGGACCTCTCAAATTTCAAATCTAATGTTAATGTCGCTTTCTGTGCACCTTCTTTGCAGGCGTAAATTGGTATGGCTCGCTCTGATCTGATCAATCAACCCTATTATCTTTGTGTCTTTGTATGTTATGATCTGCCTGTACTGCACACAAAACAAACTTTTCACTCTACTTAGGTACATATGACAATAATAAATCAAATCAAATCAAATCAGCAATGGCACCTTTAAACATTGACCAGGATATGGCAGTTCCACCTTGGAAAGAAAGGGGGACACACTCTCCATTCTCCAGCTCAAGTTCTGCCCCTTAACTGTGTGGTGCTGGCCAACATGAACAACATAAACCTTCCTGGTTTACCACATGCCACACTGAGAGGCCATTTTATAATGCAGCTGAATTCATTCACAGGAAAGGTTTGCACTTGGTCAGGGTCCAATTCATCTGGGATCATTGCTACCACTTTGAATAAAACTGCACAGGTCTCCTGAAAACCGACATCCATCATGTCTCTCGTCCTCCTAGCTCTCACGTTCCTGCCTCATTCTAAGAGACGAAGGCTTTCCAAGGATAGTGCTGGGAGATAAGGGTTACCCTCCCCCTACCCTGGCTGATGACACCCTCCTGGAAACCCTTGGCTGGGGCCAATTGTACGTACAATGCAACACACCCTTCCACCAGAGTCACTGTGCAGCAGGCAATAGGCCTTCTCAGTTTCTAATGCTTGGATTAACCTCGAGGGGTCTTTCAGTGCAGGTCAAATGTTTGTGGCGTATTTCTTTTCTTTATTCATTAACGGGAATAGGGCGTCGCTGCCTAGGAAGCATTTATTGCCCATTTCTAATTGCCCAGAAGAGCGGTTGAGAGTCAATCTCTTGGCTGTGAGTCTGGAGTCACATGTAGGCTAGACCAGGTAAGGATGGCACTTTCCTTCCCTGAAGGACATTCGTGATTCTTAATTACAGATATTTTATTGAATTCAAATTCCACCATCTGCCATGGCAGGATTTGAACCCAGATCCCCAGAATGTTATCTGGGTCTCTGGATCATCAGTCCAGCGATAATACCACTGGGCTGTCACCTCCACAGAGGCCACCAATATAACCAGTACCATGCTGGCTCCAGCATGCATCGGTCTGGCAGTCTCCATGGACAGATTAATAACTGCCATGGAGAGCCAAAATAAATCAGGGAGGTATTCAGGTGGGTCAGGGTGGTGCCTCTTGGATCGGGTTGGGAATACAGGCAAAGTGATTGTCAGGTCTTCTCAGCGGAATCAGTTGGATGTTCAGCTAACTCCAGCAGAACGCTCAGTGACTGCCAGAAATGCACAAAGACCTGCACTCCCTCTCTTTTACCATTAATGCTCAGCGTTAACAGCAAAGTGATAGGGGAATGAGGGACAAGAGACTCAAATAACCAATTTAGATCACAAGGGGTCTTATCCTGACACCTCTGGGACATGTATTCATTTATTCAGATACATTCGTGAACAACCCTGTATGTAAGATTGAGAACTTCTCTCAATCACCAGCTCCATTGAGAGAACGTCTCAGAAAAGACCCAAATCTTGTCCAGTGTTCAGTACCTTCAATCCGTTTGTACTTCTCAATTCCAATATCAACTACCATGGCCTTAATTTTACGTGATTGATGGTTTTTATTCTTTTTGATTAATTGATACAAGTTAAAATGGATCCAGCAAATGCACTTAGTTGGTGGCATCAGGTCTGAAAATCACTATTTATTTTGATATCAATACTAAGAATAGAGAGAAGGGTCATAATTTACAGGACAATCTCACAGTTATGTCTGTGCTCACTCTATTTTGTGTGTAATACTTTATTTTCATATCTACTGAATACCTAGTTCTGGACTTACTCAGATCCACATCAATGTTTATGTTTCCAGTGAGAATAATGGAGTTATTTTCCTGTATTTCCCATGTATATAAATTCTGATTTTCTACTCCAGCATGTCGAACAATCAGATAGACTGTCTTGTTTAGTCGAATCTCATCAGTGTTCATCCTCCTGTTTTGCAGAGATGGGTTTCTCTGTTTCCAGTGAAGACTGACTGTGTCCGAGAGTCTGGAGATGGTGCAACTGAGTGTGATGTCGCTGCCCATTACAGGCCTCTGTGAATCGGTCCCAACTGTAAAAACAAAAACATGAAGCTTATTCATCTCAGAAAGCTTTCTGAATTGCTGTGTTCAAATTCTTATCTTTCCACACATAGAGTCAGACGCTGACAAGCCATATTTCATGCCGGCAAATTCCATTTCCAGCTGTGGTTCACAGATTATTTCCTCTTGGCACCCTCTTCTCTCCTCTACTTTCTGTACACGCAGTTCCCGGGCAATATGATGAAGATGTTGCTTGAAATTTAACTGAGGTTTTGAATGTCTTGCCTGCTCTCTTTGGAGACCCTCATTGCTGGAGACCAAAGATCGCTTTTCTGGGGAAGGTTGTTGAACCACCTGCCAACCAGACATTGGCAAAACCATTGTCCTGTCTTCACCTGGAATCAAGACATTGGGGATGGATGCCCTGCCCAGCGAGAGTGGATGGTTTGAATTGATTTGGGTTGATAGGATTTATAATTGTCACATGTATCTAAATACAGTGAAAAGTTTTGCTTTGTGAGAAGTACAGGCAGAACATAACAAACAAGGACATACAGACCGTAGGGTGCTTAGACAGAGCAATAGAGAATGGTTGTAAGAAATGTGAGAAGAACATCTGCTGCAGAGAGCTTGCAAAGAGTTGCTCAGCATCAGTGCCATTTCTAGGATTGGGTTGCAGTGAGAGTGGGTTGGAGTGGTCAGAGGCAAGGGTTTGAGTGGTTTCTTCCAAGAGGAACCCTCCTGCCTGATGTGCATTCCCTTCATCACTGGGATTGACTGCCATTGATTGACAGAGCCCCACCCAGCCCCAAGGTGACTACCTGCCCAATTATTGACAACTTTCAAGAACACTGCTTGGGTACAGTCCCTTTTGCATCTGTGTTCATTCCAGGGGTGGTGGGATGAGATCCTTAAATCATCCTGCATTATTCATTAAGGGTTTTAATGATCATAATGAGGTCAGCCAGGTGGACAACACAGAATGCTAGTTCCTTGATTGGGACTGTTAATACGGGAGCCCTGGCTGGCAAATAAGAACAGGAGTGTCAGACATCCTGTTCGTTATGACACCTGGCTCTGAGGGACATGGGTCATTGTCAAGGACTCTCCAAGTGTGTGTAAAGGTTGACCTGGTGATGGGAAACCAGCCTTTCTGGAATTATTTCAAGGGCCTCAGTGTCAACTGGACCAAAAGGTCACCCATGGATCTCCCAGGCCAGAATTTCATTCTGGTCAAAGTGAGAAGGCAGCAGTGATGGGTAAGTTACCATCACACCTAATTCAGTGCCTTTCCACCTCAAAACTCAGCACCACAAGTGATGAAATAATCAATGTTGATGACCAGACTCTGGAGATGGGTATGGACGATTCTACCCAGTGGGTCAGCTTCCCCGTGTATATTCATGACACTTCGATCAACTTCTCCACCTTCTCTCACAAACCCTTATTTGCTTCTGTGTTGTCACAATATTTATGCAATCTCTCGTCTTAGATCAAAGGCAATTTGCTCCAGTTACATAACTGAAAAACCAAAATCATCATCTTTGGCGTTCCCTATGAACACCATACTGATCCCTGCAGCTCTATCTCTCTCTCCACGGGGACAAAAAGCTAATGTTAAGAATCACAACTACTAATTCAGTCCATCCACTTGTTCTGGTGACCAGACTATGTTTACTACCTTGTTTGCTTTAGTGAGACATTCATTTGAGGCTGGGTGATTAAATATCGGGTAGTATTAAGCCATTTTAGTTTTGATCCCTGTTCTAAACTCCATATCTTAACTGCCAACTCTATGTCTCTCCCTGGAAATAATCAGATTAAGTTAGAGTGTTTGCAACTTTGGTGTCACTTTGACCTGAGATTGTAGAGGAAAGGGCTAAGAATGAATGTGGGAATAGTAAGCTCCACCACTAGTGATGAAATAATCACG